TATATATATATATATATATATATATATAACAGAACCTGTTTCTACACAGTATAGTTTCTTATTATACAAATTTTTCCATAACAAAAAATTTCAGGGGGAGATGACTTAACAGAAACATTTGAACAGGTAAGGTGTTGTATCTATGAAAATGGATATATGTAATTTTATTTTTTCTTAATTATCAAAGCATGTACATAACATTTACTGATGTTTCATTGAACATCAATTTAACTTTAATGTTGATTAAATGAAGCACAATATCGAAAATAATGGTTGATCATGTGTAAATAATACTTTTTTGTTCTTATTTTCTTAACTGGGACTCTGCATTTTTGCTTATGTTTGGTAAAGTTGATCCATTGAATAACAAAATGATAATGGTTAAAAACTTACTGTATTTAACTCGTATGATCAGACCTAAAATTGGTAATAAAACAAATGTTCCAAGATGCAGAAAGGTTAAGATGTAAATTATTAGCAAATTTAAGCTCATGACACATCTACCCTGTTATAAAAGCTTGAATTTTTATGTAACATATTGTACAGTTAGTGAACAACGACAGTTTACAGGAAAGTGAGAGCCCCCTGCAGTGTTGAAAATTGGCTTTTGGCTAAACTAAATAATTAGTCACTACTATTATTTATTGAAAACCTGACTAAAGAGTTACACTGTGAGAAAAAAACATTATTTTCAATATCATAATATTCATTGTACAGAGGTCATGTGAGAGGTTTATTGGTATAATATGTGTATAGTTAATTTTGTTATCTGTATTTCTATCCATGTTTTATAATTGGCCACCATAAGCCTATAGTGTCATCTTTAGTAAAACTGAAATTAGCTTATAATCAGAATATTATTCATAGCATGAGCTATTTTCCCAATATTTATTATTTGCACATTACTTAAAGGTAATGAATTCCATACAATCATATGAAAACTGTGGCATTGCTTGATTGCAAGAAACGTGTCGTGTTACAGGCACATACTTAGTACGGCTATATACCTGTCACCACATATTAATTATCTAGCAGTATTTGGTGCTCTGTAAACTTTGCATATTTAATGATTTTGTTTCAAATCAAAATTAATGGTTTGTCTTATTTATTGTTGAAATATAACTTAGTGATGGTATATTAATGATAAAGTAAATGTATATCTATTAATATTATTGGACCATACAATAATAATAATTTAGTGATAGTATATTTATGAGAAAGCAGCCGTATGTCTATTAATGTTATAGGACCATACAATAATTATTAAGCATATTTAATATCATATAGATGCTCTAAGTTGTTACTTATAAATTCCCAGTTCATGAAAATGAACTGGTTCCTTTTAGGTGTTGTGTGATCAACAGGTAATTCATATTTTTATAATTTCTTATGTGCTTAGCACCAGACCATGAATAGTTTGGTACTTTTATGTTTAACAATCAAAGGTTTATCCTGAATTGAGCAATAAAAGTGACTATTCACATAATCTGTTATGGCTGTGCTTATCTTTTAATAGGGGATAAAATGATCAATAGATGGTCTCTCCACACATGAAAAGTGGTGAGGCCATTAAAGTGTACATCATATTGGAGACTAATCAATGCCAATTCAAGATTTCCATTGACGAGCTATCTGTTGCATTTGTGTGTAATCCTTGTTGGTTTGCCTTAAGGTATAATGTCTTAATATAAAAAGACTGTTTGTTCTATCTTTCTTTTTTTTTTCCATGTTCTGGTTGATAGACCTTTATAATAAACCCCATAGCTACCCCCCTCCCTTTCATGTGAACTTAGATCTGGTATCTACAGTTGCATATGCTTTGAGAGGATGATAATGTGATGCCTTCATAGCTATTGTATGAAAATTGGCTTTGTGCAGATTAACTTCTCTTGTATCACTCCTCTCTGTGCAGAGGGACTCAGCTAACTAATATTAACTTCCGATCAAAGCAACCTGGTAATGAGTATAGCTAATTAGATGTATTTTTATAACACTTTTACTTATGAGATTAGAATGCATTGTTTCATCAGTTGGTACCCTTGCTATTAACAGTATTTTTGGCCATAAACCCAATAATATCTCTCAAGATTCAGCTAGCTTAGGAGATTTAAGTTAGCCCTAATAATTGGAGACATGTGTGCTAATGTTGGCTTTGGATCATTGATTCAACAACATAAATTGCATATCCTTATTGTATGATTGAGTGATTCATTGTAGAGGCAACGTATGGTCGCCCTTATATGTATAGGATACACAAGTACCACCAAAATAATGCATGTAGACAGGGGAAGGGTTTGGAAATTCATTAAGTTTGGTACAAGCTAGTGGAAATAATATTTGCAGCTATTGTAGCAGAGATAGTGGTGTGATTTCTAATTTATTTTATGGGCAAACAAACTTTGTACTATTATCATAAAACCATACCACAAAAATCATGTAATTGGTGTTAAACTTAACTGATAGAAGTCAATAATTATTATTCAATTTTTAAATTATGTTACCAGGTATCAACAAATTTTAGCTATAAACGTAGCATTTTATATATTTTTTGACAACACAGCTAAGCCTTTAATTATTATGTTAAAATACAGAATAGCAACAAATTTTTTGGTTTGAGGTTTGTTCCAAGTATTACTTGTGAAAAAATACATAACTTAAAAAGAGAGGTTTTTCTTAATTTCAGTGCATAATTATAGAGAATGGCATTATGGAATACATTATGATTTCTACGTAACCAATGTATTTTTAAATCAGTTCGTTTAACTACAATAATCTGGTAAGAGGACAATGGTTTTCTTTCAAATATATAGAAAAATACTATTGTGTTAATCAACTGAGCAAGACCTATTATTTGTACCATTAAGCAATAAAAAATTGTAGCTATTGTGGTAATCACATGTATTACTTTTCTTTTCACTGTACTGAACTTTTTAGGCAGCAGTAGGCATGTTTGGTTACATGACTGAAATTGACAAGGTTGATATCCTCATGACCAAAGACATTGAAGCAGAATGTGAGTTATTCACAGCAATATCAAATTTTAACCATCTTAAATATTTTCTTAAAAATACTGGAGTTATCCTTGTAATAAGTTATGAAAATGTCTGTGTATTTATTATTCTTTTTGGTTCAAAAGTTACTGTGCTTCACCATAATTTACAAATTGTTTTATTGAAAATTACTTGAGTTTGTTCACCATGGTTTAAGCATAGTAAAGAGTACATAAATCTGAAACAGAACTTAAGCTTGAACAAATGAATAGCAGTGATGTAGTACTCTTTGGGATACTAGTGTTTCTTGCAGGATTTTGTAACTCGGAAATTTTAATTGCAGACTATACAAAAATTGGTTGTGTGTAATATTCAGTATATAATGTCAAGCAGTTTTGATTTCATAACTTTAAAATAATAGTGATCTTTCTACGAAGCAATTTTGTCTGTATTTTTTCACAACAGAATGTGAAAAATGTATACAAAAGTGAAACTTTGATGTTTTTAAGGTACAGACATTTTTTCAAACACACATATTACATTACAAGATAAAGAAAACATTTTGCTACTGGTTTAAAAAGATAAATAAACTAGTATAGTTTTGTGTTAAAAGTGACTTTTAAAGAATCCAATATTACAATAGGTAGCAATGTATCCACCCTCTGACTGTAAGACACATTTCATGTGTGTGTGTATTGTATTTTTGTTTCTCAATCAACCTCCGTTATATATGTTTATTTAATTTGATAAACTATCTTTTTCACTCCAATAGCTGAAGACATGCTAGGCTTGCTATATGTTTTCTTGGATGAATTCCTGTTTGTCTTCAGTGCAGAACCTTTTTTCATTGCAAGGGTGGGTTAATATGCATTTTTATTGTGTCTTCATAAAAAATCTATAAGTGTTTATATCTGGATTTTCTTCCTTTTATTTTTTAACATTTAAATCTTATAAGTAATATGTTTAGTACTGTATTTGACAGTTGTATTTCAAGAATTTTTTATGACTCAAATTAACCCTTTTGCAAGTGATAGGACAAAGTGCACATCACAGCCTTTTACAGTTACATTCAAAATTTAATTGATCTACTTTATCAGTGTATATGAATAAACTTGGCATCAGAAAATAGTTAATAAATCAAATTGTAATATTATATAAGTTTTGAGTACTTAATTTTATAAGGAAATGTTTAAAAAATCCTCTATCTCCCCTACTATGAGAATTGTGACATTTGCTTTTTGTCTCCTTTCTTCTCTAATTTATTTACCACCCCTCCAAGAACTACAGAATTTAATTTAACTTTTAATTTTATAAGAAAATATTTTGAAATTCTCAATCTCCCCTATTATGAGAATTTTGAAATTAGTTCTCTAGGTTTTTCCCTATTTTCAAGTTTATTTACCGCACATCTGGGAAGTACAGAATTTAATGTTAATTACTTATCATAATATAAATATTACTCATGCAAAGCATAATTATTATAGCCTTCAATCTTTTTTGTTTATGTAACCATAAATTAGAAAATCAAACTCTTCTTGCCATGCCCACCTGTCCCATCCTCTATATTACAAATTGCTAATAGCTCTCTTTGATGTTTTATATTATATTATTTATAACCAATAGGAAGCTAAAGTATTAATCTATCAAATGATGTATTACATTAAGTTGTTTCCTGTACAGCGGAGCATTGTCTATTTGTCATACAATTTCAAATTCATTTTCATGGGAATCACATTTGCAAGCTTAGAAGAATTTGTAAAAACTCTTATCGGAGGCTTAGAAAGCCAAAAAAATGATAATAGTTATAGGACATTGTTTTCTTTTTGTATGTTATTATTCCGTGTTCTTAGGTGCAGTATATAATTAGTAGTAGGACCATTACTTTAAAAAAGTAGGCTTAAGTTTCATCAATAGTCAATAGCAAAAAACAAAAAAAAGAAGACTCAGGAAAGTACTTTATTTTTTGTTTTTCTTGTGTATTTCTTAATTTTTATAATAAAAGTAACTTAAGTGTAAAAATTAGAAACTTGTTAGGTTAGATAATGGACAAAAAATCTTCAAGGTCTGCTTGTGAGCAGCTCGTGCAATGCGTAATTTGAGACAGTAACATGAACTGCAAGTTTGCAATATAATTTACAATTTGTGTGATGGGATTATTAGTTATACATAATTCAAAGGGCAATAAAACAATAAAATTAAGATGTACTGTAACAGCTTTAAATTTTTAGGATTAACAATTGTGGTTTCCTGTTGCAATTTACAGTCATTCTAGAAATAAGAAAGGGTAATTTAGATTTATTTTTTAATCTTTTATGGTGGTTACAGGTTGATCAAGTTGACTGACCCTGTATCGAGTTATGGTAGAGAAAATAACAGATAAAATATAAAGTTTTTCTGACAGAAGTTTTATATTTATTTAGGTGGTTTTAGAGATTACACAAATGAAATTTGAAAATTTTCAGATGAAGAAAAATATCTTTAATCTTAACATCAAAATCACTTTGCACTCAAGGCAGTAAATATAATAATAAACATAAGAATTATGCATGTCATGTTCGTAGAAGTAGTAATAACAAGTATTCCAGGTTTCTGATATTATAATAGCAATCAGTAACAAGTATTCCAGGTTTCTAATATTATAATAGCAATCAGTGTGCATTTAAATGTCTGCAATATATCAGCTTTTAGAACAAGCAGTACTCCTGTTATGTTTATATTAATGTCATGAAAACATTAATCTACTGGTGTTCTTATATTTTATGAATTATTTGCACCATAGGTGTAATTTTTTTATTTTGTAAAATTTTCAGTACCATTATTATGAAATTAAATTTACCAGTCACAAATATTAACAAAATGGGTAGCAACCACCTATATTTATCTTGCATGCACTGCAGAGGTGGATACAGAGAGGGATCCAGCCCCTCTTGTTTGAGAAATTTTAAGAAAAAATAGCAAACTGACCTAGAAAAACCCAACTGTACCCTCTTTTGAGCCAGAACCTCTCATCCTTTTCTAAAAAGCCTGCACTATACTACTTATATGTAAAAATAAAATGGATTTACATAAACTTCAATAATCGGCAACTTTTTGGAATAATAGTCCTAGAAGCGGGAAAATAATGTAGTATAAATTCTTGCAAAATAAAAATCTGGATATTTATTTACCTGTAATCTGGCTTCAGTGATTAGAATCTGGATTTTATGTGACAGTACTTGAGACAGGGCACTACACACAGAGCTCTAAGTGTGTGTGGGTACTGACTTTATCCCTGTCAAGTAGCAGTAGATGGCAGTAGCACACAGTTAGTGGAAAAACTTGGGTTAAACACTGCAGAATTAGAATGTAAAGTTTACTCTGAAACTACCTCAGAGTGAATGATTTTTGTTCAGCTTGATCACCCCAAGACTGTTTCACAGTAACCACTAAGGAGGTTAACAACAAGTAATATGCATGTTAAATATACAGCAGTTAAGTAAATTATATTTAAATGATTTTGAAGCCTTACAACATTAACAGTTCTTGTCTCCACATCTAGTTGTGCTCTATCTGACAACTGTGCAATGATGCAGTACAGTTTCCATTATATAAGACTCCATTGTTAAGTTTACACATGCACAGCACACCATCCCTCCCTACATTTTTCCACAAACCCTCTAGTGTACACTCATTCTTGGTTGTGTTGCATGCTATTTCCTTTGACATTTAGACAGCGTTTGCCACTTTTGTGTTCATGGATTCTCACCTGCTACAAGATGCAACATTTTGCTTACTGTGTTGCAGGTCTTTGTGTGGATGGTCCTAGTACCCCAAGTTGATACATATTCCTTATTTTTCAAACACATTTAAGTACAAAGGATATTCTCCATTTTGTTAATTCTTAATTCCCTATCTGAACACATCTTTATGATGTGAGTGTATGAATATTTTGCATAAAAAAGGGCTCTCCCATAACCTTACCAAAAGTGATAACTTTTCAGTGGCATCACACGAATAACAAAATGTAGTTTGGATGCATGCTGTTCTACTGCAAATTTATATCTGCTGTTGTTGGTATGTGACTTGCTGATTTGTATATTCAAAGTAGTTTGATATAATGCATTCAACTCTCTGTAGTTCCATTTTACAAAATGTTTAGAGGCAAGACACATACATATATATTATAGCTTTGATATTGTTATGATAACAGAAGTCACGTGATGCTGCTGGCACTGGTAGCATGCATGACGAGGTTCTCGAATGATCGGGGATGTCCGAGTGTGTTTGAGATGCCCTCTTCGTTAGAATATAAGCCTGGCAGAGAAAGCCAGTGGAGATGAATGAAGAGAGAGCAGTAGTCGGTTTGAGTTCCGTGTAAGTTATGATTGTGTTAGTTTCGAGCTAGTGAGCCATAAAGTGTGTGTTTTGCACTTGTCGAGAGCAAAGTTATCGTATATTAGTTAGCGTATATTATAAAAGTTGTTACGTTTAAAGTGACGAGAAATGTACTGATTGTGGAACTTCTGTGAACTAAAAGTTTGTATGGAGGAAGAATAAACTGGTTTAATCAAGAAAGGACTTGTATCGCTGTAGATCCTCTTGAAGAATTTCTACCGGAAACAAACAAACAAGCAGATACGTAACAATATTAATATTTCATTAGCTTTAACATCAGCTACCTTTTCATGTCCTGTTACTGTCCGTGTTTCATATGTTCAAGCAGAAAAAAAGCTTGAAAAACACTAATCTGAAAAAAAAATTTAATAAATAATCTGTCATTTTGTATTTTGAAGATTTTTTTCTTTTAATTAAGATAATATTACTACAAGAGTTAACTGTAATAAAAGTCATTGTGTAATAGGGTAATTCTAAGATTTATTGTTAATATTTGTTTTATGTCTAAAATTCTCACAACTTTATTCTTTGTTCAAGATTGATTATAATGATGTCCAATATTGAAAGTTATTAAAAACTGTTTGTGTTACAGTAACAAAATTTCCTCAGAAAAACATTAAGAATCATGTGTTAGTTGAAAAATTTTGAACATGGTAAATGGTTTTTCAAAAACAGACAAAGAAGGTGCTTAATAAGCTTTCCACCAAATAACAAACCAAGCCTATCCATAAATAAACTTTCTGTAACCACCATCTACTTTGGAAAGTGTTTATTAATTCTCCCAGTATCCTAAACTAAACAATTTATCCAACTCACTAATCTTATATTGTTTGGAGAGAGAGAGAAAAATATAAATGCAGTGCTAGCTTGTGAGAAAAGTGATTTAGCTTAGCAGTATAATATGGTTTCAAACATACTGTATTACATCCTTACTTTTGTGAATAAAACTTATGATTATTAATACTCTTTTGGGAAAATTTTGTTTTCGTAACACAAATAGTTTTAAGTTCTAACCACTTTAAGCATGATGTGTTCCATATAATCACTTTCTATATTAAACAATTCAAGTTAAATATGTCAAACATACAGTAATCTAAACCTTCTTATTCCAGAAAGTAAAGATTTTATCTTTTGACAAAGAAAACTTCAAGATTAAAGCCAGGGGGTAAGTATCAAATTTTGGGTATTTACTGTATAATAGATGTACTGTTATATATAATATAGTCCAGTTAGAAAGTTGAAAACTTTAGATTGCATTAAATCATTAGATGTGTGCACTTTCTGTTATTCATATTTCATTCTGACATAACCTAATAATATATAGACCTTTCAAAAGAGATTTATATTTGGCCTAAATATACAAACTAAGCCAAAAATACAAATTAACCTTTATAAAAGTAATTATAATTCACCAAATTATTAATGGAGTTGAACCAATTAAAAATTATTTGCAACAGTTTAATCATAATCTTTCAATGAAATTAACTGTAATAAATTTCAAGTGATAATTACAAATCACAGAAATATAATAGTTGTCCATTATTTTATTTAGACACACTTTTTATGAATACCTGAAAACTGACTGTTTCTTGTACAGTTCACATGTTTGCAATAGTGAAAATTAAAGAGTTTAAACTAATGGGTTTTGCCTGAATTAAATAATACTTTTCAAAACACATTAGTGATATATCTGATGAAGCATATTTATTCTGCATTTACAGTTAATGTTATTGTAATTGATATTATAAAAACTACCAGCTTTACTTCATATTAACTATTGTACATGCTTCTGTCAGAATCACCAGTTAGTATTTTAGGGACTACAGTTTTATTTTAAATCACAAAATTAGATTTTATCTAATGGATGGAATTTCATTAGTCTTGTGAAGATAATCAGTAACAGTTAATATTTATTTTCATATTTAATACTATAAGGATCCAACAATAACAGTAGTTAACCTAACTCTTTATGAATCATAATTTGCATTTTATATTAGCCAGTAGATTATGTTTGATGAATCACTAAAACTTGGCTTATTCTTATATGTACTCCTGTTTTTGTTTATTCATATATGTTAAATATTTAATGGATGAACAATAATTAAAAAAATATTTTTTCTTGCACCTGTACATCAATGTCAGTTCTTTCATTGCAACAGACTTGTGTACATTTTAAAATAAAACATATTTACTGATGAGCTAACAAAAACTTGTACCAGGGTCAATAGCATTCTGTAATTTTGAGCCATATCAATTTTCATAACTTTGTTTTATGAGTTTTAAAGTAAAGAATGTCATTCAGTTTACTAGGATAATTAGTCTGTCTGGTGATATTTATCCATACATGTACTTTTAAGTTCTTTTAAAAAGAGTTTTTAGCTATTTATCTTTCCAACTACATCTAGCACTTACACTTTATTTACTCTGCTATTTGTATATTTTAAACCACTGTAAAGGCCATAACAATTTATACAAGATATAGCTATTCTAACAGAAAGTTATGCCTTCTGTAGTTGCTGTATGGTTCTTCTTTATCAATTTTAAAGAAATTGTACAGCCCTCCTGTAGCAAAGTAATTAGAATGCTACAGTGTACATATAACATTTCTGTAGCAATTCTATATATATTTTTTTAATATTAAATATCTATATAGTGCCATACAGATAACTTAAAGCCCTTTTAGAAGCAATGTTCAGTACATTATTACAATATTTAAACAGGCATTTGTCACCCATACACTTCATAGTAATGCTAATAAGTCAGTCCTAAACTCATAATATTGTACAGCCATGTATTTTAAGCTTTGATATAAGTATACAGATTTCATTGGTACTACTTTTTCATAATTTGGTAGAATATTATCTATTCCAGTTATTCTTGTTATGTCCAACTAAACATGAGTTTGCTGCTAATTGGTGCTGCATGTCTATTGAGGATAATCACATCTTTATAAGGATAATGTTTCATGTCTCATACTGCACTTGAAACTACTTCCAGTGTTGTTGAGCAGATTCAGTCTGAAAGCTCAACACTACAATTTTCATTGTAACAAGTTTCTACAAGGGATGTTTACATCAGTTTTAGACCACAAATGTTGACAATCTTTCCACAGAGTTTTCACTGTTGGTTTAAATTGTTTCCAAGACTACTTTTAAGTAGAGTAAAGGCACAATAGTCCACTGGAATTGCATCAAAAGACTTGAAAAGTATGTGATTAGATGAGATGACTTTGAGTCCAGGTTAGTCAGCCATCTTTCTTTTAAAAACAAACACTGATTCAAAAGTGTATCTGGAAGCTTGTGAGCCTTTACCAACTTTGAAGTTTTGTTTATTATTGTATTAAGGAGCTTTGTTTCAGTGATATTTTCTATTAGATGGTTTACTCTTGTAACCACAGCTTTCACTTTGAAAATGGGGTGATTGCTTTAAATTGGATTGGGGTAAGTAATTTGGGAGGCTGTTGTTGTTCTAAAATCTCTGCTGTGCAAGTTTTTCTACTTTCGTGGAAAATATTAAAGGCTCTCTTACCCCCTTTATTTGAAATATTGTGTTCTTTGGATCACAAATTTAGTTCTTTGGATAGCTTTAATCTCTGGTGACATGGATCATTCAGACAAAGTGCAATTAATCATTTGTATTTATGTAAGTTTACAAATAAATACTCAATATTTTTTATTAAATAGTTTATTTGTGTAGTAAAATTTAATATTGTGGTTAAGTGTGATAGAACTTATAGTTTTTAAAGCATATCTAGAATTTATAGAAATGTTTCAGTATAACAGCAAGAACTGTTATAATTCTCAAGACTCAGTTATTTATACAAACAAAATTCACTGGATTGCTTCATTTTTTTTTGTAAATCATTTTGCACAAATATTTGTACACCTATGTTATTACATATTTTCACTTATGCTTTTTTTTATCTTTAGATATGGAGAGATATTTGATATTGGTAAACATCCTCAGGTAAGCAGTTGCCCTCCCCCACTTTTTTATGTGGGATATGATACATATATAAAACAATTAAATCAGACTACTTTACTGGTATGAAATAAATCCACTGAAACATAATCTTGAAACTGTGTATTTATAAGTCAGACTACTTTACTGGTATGAAATAAATCCACTGGAACGTAATCTTGAAACTGCGTATTTATAAGTCAGACTACTAGACTGGTATGAAATAGACCCACTGAAACGTAATCTTGAAACTGCATATTTATAAGCATTGTTTGCCTGTGAGTAGCATGCTGATTTGGTCTCCACTGCTGGATATTTTATGAAATATAAAAATTGGATGTATTGATCCCTGGTGGGGTACTATAACAAAAGCTTGCTAAAAAAAGGTCAAAAAGTATTATCCAAATTGATAGTTTCATCAATGTAACAAAAGTTTTACAACAAAACCTTAAGAAAGTGATAAAGCAACAAAATTCACAATTTGATATTGCCAAAAGCTTTCCAAAATTTTGTATTATGATCAACAAGGTGTGTATCACATTGTTCTCCCACATCATCACAAAGTTTTACTTTGTACAAAACCTAAACTTGTATTTTTATTTCAGCAGGCTGGGTTCTTACTTTCACTACAGCAAACCTCATATTTCCCTTTGCTTCAATAATACATATTTTTATTTTAATTGTATAAAAATACATTTTTTATTTTATTGTCTCAATAAGAAGTTTGATTTGGACTTTGCTTTCAGGGAACTGATCTTGTAGTCTTCTTTAACAATGTACTCATTTTTATGCATCCAAAATTTTAGTTCTTCTAATGCAGGCTTATTCTTTTTTTTTTAATACAGAAAGCCATATTTTCATTTTCCCTAAAAAAAAACGCACATTTTCACTTTCCCCTAAAATCTTGCCATGCTTTTACTTCTTTGTAGTAGATCACATTTTTACTTTCACAACAAATCATAACATAGGTGGCAGGACTGCAGAAGAATAATATCTAAAATTTCTTTAAATTTGCCTAATTTATCATGGTTATCAAGCTTCATGTACATTCCTACATTAGGTCCAATTCATGTTATTCCTATATCCCAGGTACTTACTTCCACATTTTTACTTTCTCCTGAACATACCACATTTAGACTTTCTAGAGAAGTTGCAGATTTTTAGGATGGCAGAACTGATGAAAGAATAATATTTGAAATTTCTATAAACACATCACCCCAATATGCCAAATTTACCTTATTTTATTCATCGTGAAAAACAAAAAAACTTTGCAAGATTACTCAGACTATTTGGCCTGTTTATTTTTTTTTTCAGTTTTGTTTTTAATTTTACACATTCTTTATTATGTATCCAGGTTTACTAATGTTTTTTCACACTTTCTACTCTAAAAGACACCATGCTTTCTTTGTATTGGCTTTATAAACTCTCTTGTGAGTAGTTTTCAAATGTAATTCTAGAGATTGATTTCTTTTATAATGTGGTGTAGCACCATCCTTCTGGTGTTTAAATGCTCTTATTCTGTGAAGCCTACTCTCAGCTAGATTCTTACACTTGTCTGGTGCAAACTATGATCACTGTTGTTTCCAAAGGTATATGATTAAATAAATGTTTGTAACTTTGAGATTTGATGCTTAGGTGAGCCCTTCCAAAACATTGATATTATTGTTTTGAAACCATACAAAGGGTTCTTGCTTTATTTCAGATAGCATTATTCTCACAGAATAACACATTGACCCGCTGACCAAAAAATGTCTCCTGGAGCATGTTATTGTGACATTTCTTGATATCTATGAGTATTAGACATATATAGAGTTCTGTCTGCAGAATAAATTATGACTCACACTATAACAACCCAACACCGTCCTTCACATTTGACAAAACACAATCATCATACAGTTGTTTAACTGCCTGCCTCCAGACCTACATGCTGCCATCATATAATACATTCTAAACATATATATAGATACTTTTAGCAGGATATTACATACCATACAATATAAAACCTCAGTTTTATTGTTCTTAACATTTCTTGCAACAAATCACAATCCTATTATCCATATAAAATGCTAAATTTATTTTCCCTGTTACAAATTATGTATTTAATGTCTATTGAGTTTTGAGTCCATTTTACTTCACCATATAGTAACTCAAATTAATTGAGAGTACTATATGATGAAGTAATATGGACTCTCAAAAACCCATAAATATTATATACATTTCACCATTATAAAAGGCCTAACTTCTTTGGTTTGCTGACCTAAGATGTGTTAATGAGCCTTAAATAGGTGAAACTGCAGTCCACAGCAGAGAGCACGGCCAATCAAAGAATGCATTAGGCCTCTATGTCACAGATTGCCTTTTCAATTTTACATCTGGAGAAAGAGAAAAGAAATCTTTAACATATGTATATACAAAGTACATATTTGTTTCCTTACAGGTAATATTTCTTTCTCCAGTTTGTATACTATCTATATGTACTTTATTTTTCCTAAAAAAAAAAGGCATATTTATATCATGTATAATGCCTCAGATAGCTAAAGAATAATGTTTCTGGTTGTTATAGGTGAAGTAAGATATCACAGTAGGATTAATAATAACTGAAATTGTGTCATTCTTAACTGACTCAATATGGAATTTCAGTAACTAATATATAACAGCATTTCAACAACACTGTTATATGCTACTGCAGACAACATTTTTTTGTTCTGAACACTTGTACTTGTTCGTTGTTTTTTTTTTGTTGCTATGGAAGTAACTTTTTCTGTGGAGTTTAAGTTGAGATTTTCCATTAAAAATCTTTAAAAAAATGCTTACTGGTTGGTACATTTTTGTTCAAACTGTATGAAAACACTAAGCAGCTAAAGGCTTAAGATTTTTTTTTGTAAATAACAAGTATAAGAAAGAAGCCAAACAGGAAATAATATTTTGTAGACTTTTTTTTCAGTTTGGAGAGGGGTAGGGTAATAGGTAGGGTTAATATTTAAAATCTGCCTGGTATTAAGTTATTCAATTTTTATAAACTTCAACAGATTTTTTAAACATTGGATATACTGTCTCATTAACATTATTTATTTCATATAATAAGAAATTAGTTTATCATATTAGTTATTTTGTGTTATGATATAACATTGTGTTTTACATTTCAGGGGACTGAAGTAAAAGCAATTACCTACTCCAACATGCAAGTTTATGATAATGAAGGGCAGCATGAACTGTTTGTCATCATTGATATCTAAGGCTACAAAGCAAGCTGTCAGTTTTTTTAGGAAACTAAAATTGCCGTATCTATTTTTTACAGTTCTGTGTAATTATTCATCAATATCATTAAACTTCAATGAAAATATTTATCTAACCTTGCCTATAAACAATTTTGTGTTAAATTCCCATTAAAGATATTTTCAAATTATTATCTCAGTTCAAAACTTTAGAATATATATATATATATATATATATATTAAAATCACAGTCCATTTAAATGCTTTACAAATACTATAACTGCACAGAAGGGTAACATTAGAGTTGTTTACATCAGGCCGTTGTAGAGAATTGCTTTTATTGAAAGAAGTTGCTGTTTTTATATGCAAATAAATTTTAGCATATAGGTTTATAGGATCTGAATCAATTACTGTATGGTTATAGATACATTTTTCTACACCATTCATCTGACTATTCAGTACTTATAAAGATTTTCATCACCAGAAAGTTTAAAAAATAAACAACATTGCTCATTTTGCATTTAAAGTAGAGTTGAGAAAAGTGACAACAGACAAAACTCTTCAATTCCAAGCTGATGTTTCATAACTTCAGCACTCAACAAATATCCTGTTTAAAGGCAGCATTAACCTTCTGAGTACAGGTAGGCAAAAGTGTACGTATCACGATCTTATTGCAGAATTATTTTTCAAAATTTAATTGAATTACATAATTATCATTGTTTGTCAATACACTTGGCATTAAAATATATTAATATCTGATTTATTAACTATAAGTTTCAATTTCTGAATTTCAAAAGGATGTATTTAGATACATTCTCTATCCTCACTTCTCTGTATCACGTGACATTTGTTTGCTCCAATTTGCATATTTCAAATAATTTTCTCACTTTTATTTGAGCTTCTAAGTTTTTAATTCAGATTCCAAACAAACGATATTAATATTACTAAGATACAATCTAACCTTACAATCTCCAATCATAATGTTAATATCAAAACCAAACTCCTGAATAGCTTAATAATTCTTCTATAAGCCCTGTCCTCTGACTCTTCATCACGAGCCAGAGTGATGATTTCATATCTCGCTTGTGGATGATTATGCCAAAATCATGCGATACAATGCTCTCACTGCTCTTCTCTCTCGCTTTTTAACTTTTGATTCCTGGTTCAACTAAGACGTTTTATAGCAACAATGGCCATAACCTATCAATGTGTTCAACCTTTTTCTTTTCTTTTCTGTTAACGAACTACTATAGTTCATAGTCTTATGAAGCTATACCAATCACCAGTTTTGAATTTTCTGACAACTTTATCAATCAACTGATGTACAAGTTTATGTTCATTAACTAAAGCAGATCTGAAGCCCTTCATACATTCCTGATAACACACTGCGCATATACACTGAGAGGTATGCTACATATTGCATTCTCAAAAAGCTGTACATCATGTGCGAATATTACTAACTTTGGAGGCTCCAAAGGCCAATATTATTGCAAGCCAAGTCTAAATGTATATTAATTTTTCTCATCATGTTACCCATATAAAAGAAAGTTATATGTTAAAAAAAAGACATCACGGGATCACGCAATACCACAACTCACTATATATATATATATATATATATATATATATATAT